TATAGCTATTTAAAACAAATTTTTACAAATTTCTCATAATGATTTGACTAAAATTAATTAGCTTATTGCTTTTGAGTTTTATTATTAATTTCGTTCACATAAATTGTAAAATTAATGTTTGAATTTTTGATTTAACTTTAAAAATACCTGATATCACAACTAGCATTCTTCTCATATTAAGAGCAAAGTTAATTTGCATTTTTTCACTTAAAATTGTTTCTTTTATCAATAATATTTATAATATTGTTCAAGACTATAAAAAAGGACACCTAGTGATTATAGAGAATAGAAGAGCAGGTCGGTTGATTCTTTAAACTTTATAAAAAATTCTATCAATTTTTTTTGTTGAATTTATCGAAAAAAAGGTTGTAATCTAGATCATTTTAATTATTAAATTTAAAATTATTTTTCAAAATCAGAGGAAAATTAGGAAAAGTTTTCCAAATCGCCAAGATTATTGATATAATTTTAAATTAATTAGTGAAATTATTAATAAGTAAATTTTAGTAGGATGTAGGTCCCAAAATAGAAATATTGAAAGATTATGGATTTTATATTTGACATAAACCTATCAATGAGAAAATTGTAGAAATTTTTGAATAAAAATAATTAAATAGTTTGAATTCACTTAGCATAAATAATGAGTTTAATCTACTTAACATAAATAGCTGGGATACAAAGAAATTTACACAAACTTGTTTTGTGAAAGATTTTCAAATAAATACTCTAAATTGCAGTAGTTTAAAGACTAAATTTAATTAAGAAATAAAGAAAACTTTCAGAATATCGGTAGAAAATGTTTATAAATTGAAAATTTAGTTCATAAAAGAAAGATGTGAGATAAGAGAAATCGAAATTAAAAATACCCTACAATTAAATTGATAGTCTTAACTTTAATTTCATTAGCTCTGCCATTTTATAAAGAAAAAATATGAATTTATATTAAAATTAGGGATACAAAAAAGATCCAAAATCATATTCTTTTTATATTAATGAAAATATTAAATTATTAAAATGCCTTTATCAAGTTAATATTAAGTTTTTGGGTTGAATTTAAAAACTTAAAAAGTAAGTTGGAATTTCATAATTTCAAAAATAGAATTGTTTTTAACTCATTTATGAAATCTTCAGCCTTCAAAGAGAAAGTTAATGTATATAATTAGATAATCAACGAAAATTTTTTAATTATTATTGATTAGTTTAGGGTATGGTTGAAAGAATAATTATATTAAAGTTTTTTAATCTAAGTAATAATCCTATAGCTAATTTTAAAAATTCAAATTAAAGTTAAAACCTCAAGATTAAATTTTAATAATTGTTTTGAAAAATCTCATATGAACTCAAATTTAATGGGTATCAGATTATTTAGTGGTTAAAATTACATCAGGAAATAGATTAATTTTTTAAATAAATACATTGAAGTTAAAATAAAAGATTTAGAATTGATAAGAGTATGGTTTGTATATAATTTAATATCATTAAAATCACGCCAATAAGAATATTATAATAAGGTAAAGTAATTTTGTCAAATAAATTAATGATACCAAGCAATTAAGAGATCTCAAAATATGAACTATACAATCCAAAATTAAACAAATTTTCAGCATATATAAATGAGTTTTCAATTTAATTAAAAAATAGATTTAATGAATAATTGCTCAATTTTACTAATTCAAATTGTTAAATTATGGAATCTATAATTGATATTAAAAAATAAGATAGATGAAGTTCAAGCAATGCTTCATTAATATATTTTAATTAAACAACAAACAATTTCGATTTAGGAATGTTAATTTTTAATCTTGATCCATATAATCAAACTGACAAATAGTATAAAATTGAAATTTAATGCAAAACCTAAAGTTTAATTAAGGAATTATGGTATAAGATAAAAGTATAAAGCCTAATTTGTTAATTAGGAGAATTTAATTTTTTAAATGGTTGTTTGACTTGTTAATCTACATAAGAGTTTTATTCTGTTACATACAATGCTACAAAGTGTTCAATATTTGATAAAATAAAATTTGAAGCCATTACTTCTAACAATATTAAATTGAAACCTGGATATTGGAGACCTCATCAGGAATCTGATTTAGTGAATGATTGCTTCAAAAATATTGAATCATGCAAAGGTGGTTGGGCTGTTGGTGATGATATTTGTAAAATTGGGCATGTTGGAGGATTGTGTGAAGAATGTGATAAGTATAATACTAGAGGAGATGGATATTATTTTTAAAATGATCAATTTAGTTGTTTAAATTGTAGCAATTTTTCTATTAACATATTATCTTTGGTTCTCATAACAATTTGGTAATAAATTAATTCTACAATAGGGTCTTTCTATCAGCTTTTATAACATTAACTAGTGTATAGAAAACTAATTAACTCTTTGCTTCATTAAAACTCACTTAAAATTTTGCTCATATCCTATTTAAGATGAATATAAGTATTTGTTTAATAAATATTATTTTTAGATTAAGAAAGTATCTTATTAAAGTTATTGCTTAATTAT